GTGTGTATTTTTAGAAATTCGAAATACTTTAGAAGATACAGCCTTTTTTGTGAAGCAAGATCTATGCAAAATGAGCTTTTTTCAAACTTCAAACGCGTTTATCTCGAAACCACGTTTTTCGAACTGGCGGCCATGATATCTCCAGTTCAACTGAACCGATTTTCATGAAACAAAAATGAATCGACGCAGAATTGTCACCATTTTCGGCTGACGGAACAGATTTTTTTTTAAATTTTTTTTTCTATTTTTTTTTTTACACTAAACTACAAAAAAAAACGCCCGAAATCGATTTTTTTTTTTACACTAAACTACAAAAAAAAACGCCCGAAATCGATTTTTTTTTTTTTTTGAATGGCCGCCATTTTGTTTTAAAAATTTAAAAAAAAAATCTGTTCCGTCAGCCGAAAATGACATCAATTCTGATTATAACCCCGTTTTTATTTTCATTTCGGACGCTCTGGAGACCCTGAATCGTGGCCGCCAGGACGACACCTTTTTTTTCCACCACCAAGTCTCATTACTCTTTGAACAACCCTCGTATCGAGGCAAGAACAACTTTTTTAGTTACTTTGAACATTTTTGAATACAATAAATAAAAAAAGTTTTCAATTATTCTTTGCGTTTTCAAATAAGAATTTTTTTAAAAAGGGTCCAAAAAACGGCTTTTGAATGAGAAGACCCCCCTTAAACAAATTTTATAGGACTTGAAACAAACCTCATACGCATGTACTTATTATTTCGGCCAGTAGTGTATAATTTATCTTGAAATACCAAAAAGTTTATATTATTTTTTAGTAAATTAAGTATAACTTTGGAAACAATTTTTTTTTTTGAATTTTTGAGTTATTATAATTAATATTAATTTTTTCATTTTCATTTGGCAAAATACTTGAAAAGTGTTAAAATAATGGTTATCTAAAAAAAACATTAGATCTAAATAAAACACTGGCTTAAAATAAAAATTTGAATGCACTTTTGTTTAAAATTGTTCCATTAATATATACAAAAAAAATTTTGACGATTCGACAAACATTTGAAGAAACCCCAAGTAAAAAAAGTTTGAAGTGCATGATTATTCAGAGTGCGACATTTTTGTTGGCACTGGGTGTATGTGTCATTAAAGTGCAAAGTGTATATAAACTAATTTTATTAAGCTCTTTTGCTCAATTTTGCCCCTATATATATAAATCCGACATATTGTAGCTGTGGTTCAGTTCGCCTATGAGCAACTGCTTGATGCACGTAACACGTTGGAATTATGATGAATTGAAAGAATTCGACTTAAGGGGTTATCCGGGTTTTGAAACTTTATAAAAATGCAATTATTTCAAACTTTTTTAAATAATAGTACAAAGTGTCAGGAATGTTGTCCGAAAATTTCAAGTCGATCGAAGCAAAACTGTAGGAATGGGAGAAATTTAAAGCCCAGCGCGTCGTAGTAGTCACAACTGGCAATTCGAACTTTTGCGTCGTTTTTCTCGAAACCATTTTTTTTAAGTCGGTAGTCACGATTTCTCGAAAACTATTGCTTTTGTACACATGGTTTTGTTGTCGTTTCACGAAGGATTTTTTATATCTTCATTTACAACTCATTTTATAAGCCAAAATATGGCCAAAAATGACGTAAAATATGACACTTTGTATAAAAAGTGCTACCAAAAATTCAATTTTTAATAAAAAAAAAATTCCTTCGTTCAAACACAAGCCAGTAACATACACTAACAGAAAAACTTTGTTTTTTTTATTTCCTATAAACATTGACGGAGATATCCTGCCCACCGCTAAGACATAATTTCTTGTGGGGTTAAGTTAAAGCCAGCCTCAACAACAGCTCATTTTTTAAAATATTGTTTGTTCAAATTTTTACACAATGTAGTTCAAACCTTATATTTTAATTTACAATAAATTAAATTTGTAAAATTGTCGTATGATCTTTTAAAAAAATCCGTGAAAATATGCCTTTTTTAGTGCTTCAAAACCCGGATAACCCCTTAAGGGGGTCTTTTCATTGGGCAACTTTTTTTTCGATTTTTTTTTTTTTTGCATTTATTTATAGATTGGGATGTTGTGTATATGTCCCCAAAAGGTTTTTTAGAAATTCAAAATACTTTAGAAGATACAGCTTTTTTGTGAAGCAAGGTCTTCGCAAAATGAGCTTTTTTCAAACTTTAAACGCGTTTATCTCGAAACCACGTTTTTCGAACTGGCGGCTATCTCCAGTTCAACTGAACCGATTTTCATGAAACAAAGTGGAATCGACGCAGAAGTGTCACCATTCTCGGGTGACGGAACAGATTTTTTTTTTTAATTTTTGTTTCTATTTTTTTTTACACTAAAGTACAAAAAAAAAGCCCGAAATCGAAATTTTTTTTTTTAATGGCCGCCTTTTTGTTTAAAATTTTTTTTTTTAAATCTGTTCCGTCACCCGAAAATGATATCTATTCTGATTATAACCCCGATTTTTTTCATTTCGGACGCTCTGGAGACCCTGAATCGTGGCCGCCAGGACGACATCTTTTTTTTCCACCACCAAGTCTCATTACTCTTTGAACAACCCTCGTATCGAGGCAAAAACAATTTTTTTATTTACTTTGAACATTTTTTAATACAATAAATAAAAAAAGTTTTCAATTATTCTTTGCGTTTTCAAATAAGAATTTTTTTAAAAAGGGTCCAAAAAACGGGTTTTGAATGAGAAGCACGGAGCAATAGTGATAGTGATTCAGATTTTGACTCTGGAAATCCTATTTCAACAAAACTTGATGTAGAAGACGAATGTTAGGAATATTTTAAAATAAACAAGAAATGAAGCTAACTTCGGCACGCCGAAGTTTGTATACCCTTGCAGATTGGTTTTGATGTTTATATTATAAATTTAAATCCTGAAAACACTCACAAAATAGAGTTTCAATAGATTTTACCTATTACATTACAGTTTGACAGTTACAGTTCTACATTCCCAGCTTTACATATTTTATACATTTACCGATCGTTTATATGGCAGCTATATGATATAGTTGTCCGATTTTTATGAAATGTATACCAAAATTCTAGAGTAATAAAATAAGCGTATATCCCGGAGTAGATGAAAAAACGTTGAAAAACAACGAAGTTATAGATTTTTTCCTATTAATTTCCCGATCGTTCCTATGGCAGCAATAAGATATAGTCGTCCGATTTTCATGAAATTTTTACCGAAATAATATAAAATGGCCATATCTAATAAATGGTGCAAAAATGTTGAAAAACAGCCAAGATATAATTTTTTTTCTAAAAATGTATCGATTATTTGAATGGGAGCTATATGATATAGTCGTCCGATCCGGCCCGTTCCGACATATATAGCAGTGAGAGTATATAGAAGACTATATGCAAAGTTTCATTCAGATAGCTTTAAAACTGAGGGACTAGTTTGCGTAGAAACAGACAGACGGACAGACGGACATGGCTAGATCGACTCGGGTGTTGATTCTGATCAAGAATATATATACTTTATAGGGTCGGAGGAAAGGTCTCCTTCACCGCGTTGCAAACTTCTGACTAAAATTATAATACCCTGCAAGGGTATAAAAAATACTATATAAGTCATTTTAAATGCATTGTTATTTTTTACTTATTAATATTAAGGTTAAATGTTAAAAAAAATGAATTTAAAATATTTCTTGAATTTAATTTATTTATTACCGTACAGGTATCAATAAGAGGAAACCTATCATATATGGGCGGCTAAGGATCGGTCTGAAACTTACATATAATTGTATGTGTATTGACACTATCATATGTACCAAATTTGATAGCTTTAAAACTTTAATTTTCGTCGAAATATCGGCTCGCTGTCCCAATGTGCACTGTGTAGACATTTTCAGTTATCACTTCAGCATTCGTTTTTCCCCGAAGCACAGTGGTCGATTGAGCCAATCTGGCAGGCAATAAATATAAAATTGAAAGTTACAATTTAGTTCATATTTTTATTTATTTTGAAAACTAAAATCCCCCCAATATTTATTTTGATGCTCACTAAATTTTTCTGTTCACACCTAAATATATTTTCCCGCACTTTTTAGGCGTTTGCTTCGCTTTGTAAAAGTTAAAGTTTTGCGATTTTTTCTGAAATAAGTGTTAACCTAAGTCAAAGTTGGTATGTATTTAGTAAAAAAAACATGTGTGTATCCTGTGTTTGTTTGTATTCGTGGTAAATCTATGTAGAAGCTAACATTTCATTTGCAGTAGCATTACTTACATACCTCAGACTTTCGTGGAATAGAACTTGTGATCCCTACGATCTCCTGCCACCAAACTTTCTGTGTTTTTTGAATTAGCTTTTGTGAATCGTCCAGTGTCAAAATGAGGTGCTACTAGCTGCTACCCTATAGCTTATTGTATTTTATAGGTACAATGTCAGTTTTTTTTTTGCAATATGGCACAAGGAAACTGAGCTCGAAAGGCGATTGAGGCAATTCAAAGCCATGTTTTTTCATTCCTTATTGATAAGAACAATATTAACGATGAAGAATACAAGCAAATAAATGAAAAATTAGCCAAATTTTCTAGCAAAATTACAAAATTACGAAAGTGGAAAAAATGCCGTAGAAACCACATATATTTTCAAAAACAAAATGAAAATTGGCTAAATGAGTCTATTGTGCTAACTGAAAAAGCCTCGAAAAACGTCCAGAATAAATACGAAGACCTTATGCATTCACTCTTACTGACATCAGACCGGCTTATATCATCGATGTCAAAATGTACTTACGCGTTCTCAAAAAAGTATATTGCTTTGGATGACGAGGTGATTCAGCTTTTGGAAAGCATCCCCGAAATAAGCAACAAAGAAATGTAATAGTTTTTTTTAACATCAAATTTGATTTTCCAATTTTGTTATAATAAAATACAGAGCTTCAAATTTTTCAAAAAAAAAAGAAAATTAAAAATGAAATCATTTTTTTTTAATTTAAAAATTTTTTTAATTAAAAATAAAAAGTATCTTAAAATATTTGTTAATTTACATACTAAATTATAAAAATAATTTGAAAAACATAAATTGTTTATTTAGCTTGATATTAATTATTGACTGCCAGATTGGCTAAATCGACCACTGCACTATGGTCCAGAACCCGTTTTTTTTTTGGCATAAAGTCGAAAAATTGAGCTACAGGGTTCAAACTTTGCAGAATTTATTTTTATGGCATTAAAAATTTCTGTACAAAAAATTGGGTCAGTGCGACCACGCCCACGCCTGCCGCCCCTGCAAACTGATTAAGAGTTGATTTAGAATAAATATATATTATTTTCTGTTCTACTCAATTACTTACTTATTTTTTAAATGCAATTTTCTTCTTCATCCAATTCAATATTATAATTATCCAGATCGTCGTCAGAATCGCACTGCAGATCATTCTCATTTTCTGCTGTGAACGGCAGGTCCAAAAGATCTAATACCTCTTTTGAGAAGGGTTTTTTTTTTTTTTTTCTTTCCCTTAGAGATACACTCGATAATAATGGATCCGAGGAATCTATAGCTCTGTGAAATATATCTCTCATAGTATTGAGACGACTATTTTTCCTTGAATGCGACAATCTATTTTTTTTGTATATTTTGTTGCGATCTTCAGAAGCATTTTCGCCTAAGCATCCTAGTGGAACTAAGCTCGAATTATTAATCTGGTAACCATGAACCAATATTTTATGAATTGTTGGTGACATCGGATACCAAGGGTAGCTTCGCAAATATAATAAAAAAGTTGTTTCACAAAATGAGCGAAATTTTTCCGAATTTATATAATGATTGGAAGAAATGGCGATTAAAATTGCGTGAAATTTATTTAAAAGATCTTCGTTGAAGTTGGTAATATATGCTAGTAGCTTAGTATTGGCAAAAGCTCTCCTTGCCGTATTACCATCATTGGTATTGCCGCTTCCATTTCGTTCCAAAACTTTTCCTGAACATATTTTTTCCGTTTGCTCATTTCAATCTTATCATCACCTTTTATATGCCATTTCTTTAATTCAATTTTATATGAAATGTTTAAGACAAATTCTAAGAACCGGATCCAGGCATGCAATGGACTTACGCCAAACTGCAAAGCTCCAGGCTTTGGGACAAAAAGTTCAGAATTAAAATCTTTTATTTCTAATATTTTTGTTGGAGTGACACCACAGATTGGACAACATTGAGTAGATGTAGTTCCAGTCAAAACGTTTAGCACTTTGCCATCAATAAGTGTCATGTGCATTTCATAATTTACTGTTATATCACGATTTTCATTGAAGGTTTCAGAAGGTTTGAGATTATTAATTTGAGAATCTAAAAAGTTCTTTTCCATCATTATGTGTGCCGTAGTTTCTTTTACAAGTTCAATTTTTAAAGGTCTGCAAAATCGTATAGATTGCGGTGTTCTATTATTCCATATGTTGTGATCAAAAGCGTCTATAATTTTGATGGGTATAACAGAAGTCACAAAAATGGAGTGATCTGAAAGCTGTTCACCAGTTGTTTTGGTATCAAACTTCTGCTTGTATATTGAATGACCCGTTGAACCATCAAATCCATAGCTGCATATTAGTTTAATTTCAGAGCTGTTTGGAAACTGGCTTAAAACATCGGCTTGCATTTTAATAATTCTGTGCGCAGTATGATCCAAAAGGTTTTGTAATGATACTTGGGCGGCAGTTTCTGTAACTTTTATATCTCCAGGACGGCATTGTAATTTAGATTCCATTATTAGACTATAGGCTGGATAAATGTCACTATGGCGACTTTTATTGATAAGTCTAGTGTTCATGTACTGCTGTTTTGTAAGAGAATTATCCAGGAGGTATGCCAAACCTTCATCGGGTGTAAGTGGAATGGGTTTTTGCACATCAAATTGTTTTCTCGATTCAGTTGAGTATTCGGGTGTTGTTATGGCTTTTTTTAGAACAAAAGCCGTGTCCTTTTTGCTTTGTTTCTTTGCAGAGACTGCTGCAGCATGTGCCAGAAGATTTGTGTCACAATTATTTTCATTTGCGAGCTCAGATGCCAATTTCCTTTTTAATCTTGTACCCGCATTCGTGTAAGATAAGGTTGGACGTCCCATCTGCTGTGGTGTTTTGCAGGTTTCATCAATAGTAATTGATATTTTTGATTCCAACCATACAGTATGCTTAGACATGAACCGTTCAAGCATGTAGTTATATTTGGGAAGCCGTTTATGAATGTAACTATTAAAATTACTGATTTTTTTGTCTATTTCCTTTATCGTATTGGATTCCAAAGCGTTTTTATTAATTTTTGTGTATATCCAATCAGATACACATTGATTTTTGCGATTGCCGCTGCGCCATATTTCAAAAAGTTCGCTTTGAGTAAACTCAAACGTGCCTATAAATTACCAAAATGCGAGAAAAGGGGGACGAACGGGGATGAGTTTTTGGTTTGTGGTTAAAGACAACACTCACAAGTACATTCTGGACCAATTAGTTGCTGTCAGCATGGAGCAGCTCATTAGTTATATTCCACGAAAAACGGAGAACGCATGTTAGTTTTCTAAAAACATTCACATAAATTGGACGTTACACAACACTAAATACGTAGAACTACACATAAAATAACAATATACATTAAATAGTACATACCTTGAGGATTATTTTCCATATTTTAGTTTAATTTTTCGGACTAAATTAAAGCGTGTGACACAACTCAAAGCTAGTAAATATTTGGCGCGAATTTGTATTCGGAAATCAGCTGATCGCAATCGCACTTTTAAAAGCTCACAATAAGCATTGGTGGCACATTTAAAGCTTTTAATTAACATTTTTATAATTTACTTTAAGATAAAAATAAGAAAAAAACGATATATTAACATAAAAAAATCGACTTTATGCCAAAAAAAACGGATTCTGGACCATAGTGCACTGTGCGAAGTTCGGAAAGAACCTTTTATCATTCCACTTCATAAAAAGGGCATTAAATCTAATATTGAACACTACAGAGGTACAGCTAAACTAAGTACGATTCCACCAATGTAGCTTAATAATGAGCCCCTCACAGGACGACTTTATGAAAAGCAGATCAACGTCTACAAATCTCGTTGAGTTTGTTGCTGTCATTAGAAACGCGTTTAAAAATAATACACAAACCGATGTTATCTGTACAGATTACAGCAAAGCCTTCGATTCGGTGAATTATCAGTTACTGTTGAAAAAACGTTGTCTTTTGGGTTTCCCAGTCACATTGATCAAGTGGATTTATATTTATTTGTTGAAACGTACTCAAAAAGTTGCATTCAAGGGTTCATTCTCAAACCTTGCTCACGTGACTTCTGGGGTTCTCAAGGGAGCCAGCTCGGTCCTCTTCTATTTGGCATTTTTATACCTTCGCATGGTATTATTATTCAGTCAGAAGTTTACAACGCAGTGAAAAAGACCTTTCCAACCCTACAAAGTATATATCGGAGACCTAGGAAGTGGTGTTGGAGACATCGGTTCATCCTCCATGATTCTGCAGTTTTTAGAGTTTCACACAGCAAATCGCCTGGGTGTGTTCCTTGTCCGTTCAGAAGTGAATTGCCATTCACCTGTCATTGCCATTCACCTGTCATTGCCATTCACCTGTCATCGGTCTCTTTCTCTATCTCACCACACCAGTCATTTATCTCACCATGTTCTCGCAGTTTAAGCTGAACACCCCAGGCGCCATGCTCACTTGAGTTACACTCAAATGATGCTCACTCAACTCATCAGAATATTACACACTTCTTTATTCGACATGGAGCTCATTATTTTGGTTACATTCGAATTTAGCGTAGTTAGCTTTACGAATCTTCGACATATATATATTCTTGACCAGCATCAACAGCCGAGTCTATCTAGCCATGTCCGTCTGTCTGTCTGTCTTTCCGTCCGTCCGTCTGTCTACGCAAAGTAGTCCCTCAGTTTTAAAGCTCTCTAAATGAAACTTTGCATATACTTTTCTGTATACTCTCTCTGCTATATATGTCGGAACGGGCCGGATCGGACGACAATATCATATAGCTGCCATACAAATGATCGACAAATTTTTAGGAAAAAATTATAACTTGGCTGTTTTTTAAAATATTTTAATCATTTTTAAGATATGGCCATTTTTTATTATTCTAGAATTTCGGTTTAAATTTTATAAAAATCGGACGACTATAATTTATAGCTGTCATTTAAACGATAGGGAAATTAAGAGAAAAAAATATAACTTCGTTGTTTTTCAACGTATGTTTGTAATGTAGAGAAAATGTCAAGCTGGGAATGTAAACATAATAAGTATAGGTGAAATGTAATGAATCTCTATTTTATTTGTGTTTTCAGCATTTAAATTAATAATATTAATATCTAAACCAAATTATTATATGCTGAGTATATTAATACAACTTTTATATAATTCCTTTTATTTTTATACCCTTGCAGGGTATTATAATTTCAGTCAGAAGTTTGCAACGCAGTGAAGGAGACGTTTCCGACCCTATAAAGTATATATATTCTTGATCAGCATCAACAGCCGAGTCGATCTAGCCATGTCCGTCTGTCCGTCCGTCTGTCTGTCCGTCTGTCCGTCCGTCTGTCCGTTTCTACGCAAACAAGTCCCTCAGTTTTAAAGCTATCTGAATGAAACTTTGCATATAGTCTTCTATATACTCTCACTGCTATATATGTCGGAACGGGCCGGATCAGACGACTATATCATATAGCTGCCATATAAATGTTCGATAAATTTTTAGAAACAAAATTTTAACTTGGCTGTTTTTCAATATTATTCCATCATTTTTGAGATATAGCCTTTTTATATTATTCCAGAATTTTGGTAAAAATTTTATGAAAATTGGACCACTATATCTTATAGCTGCCATAGGAACGATCGGGAAATTAATCAAAAAAATTATAACTTCGTTGTTTTTCAACGTATTTTAATCTACTTTGACACATGAGCTTCTGGTATTATTTTAAAATTTTGGTAAAAATTTTATGAAAATCGGACGACTATATCTTATAGCCATAAGAACGATACGGAAAGTAATAGAAAAAATTATAACTTCTTTGTTTTTCAACGTATTTTCATCTACTCTGAGATATGAGCTTTACTTATTATTATAGAATTTTGGTATACATTTTATGAAAGTCGGACAATTATATCATATAGCAGCCATAGAAGCGATCCGCAGATGTAGAGAAAATGTAAAGCTGGGAATGTATAACTGTAACTGTCAAACTGTAAACATAATAAGTATAGGTAAAATGGTATGTAACTCAGTTTAGTGTCTGTTTTCGGCATTATAATTTATGACATAAATATGAAAACCAATCTGCAAGGGTATACAAACTTCGGCGTGCCGAAGTTAGCTTCCTTTCTTGTTTTCTATTAATTGAACTAGAAAGGCTGAATTTGTAATGATCCAATTGCAAACTGCAAGGGTATACAAACATTGGCATGCTGTAGTTAGCTTTCTCGTTTTTTTTTATTTATTTATTTATTTTTTTTTTAAATTTTTTTTTTTTAGTCTACTAGAATAGGACGGTCGTCTCTCATCAGCATTCCACGGTAGGCAACGGAGAGGGAAAGGTAAAAAATTCTTTTGTACAGATTTAATACTGTTAATATGGACTCCAAATTGAGGACTCCAGCCACATGAACACACACTCCAAAATAGGGCATACTATGAAGTAATAAGAATCTTTGTTATATAAGGAGAATCGAATTCCTTCGACCACCTTTTAATAAAACCGAGCATGCCTCTGGCTTTATTAACCATGCATGAAATATGTTCAAAAACAAAAGTTTAGGGTCTAAACGAACTCACAAATCGTCAACAAGAGGTATTCTTTCGAGAACGCAGTCATTAAGCGAAAAAGTGGCAAACTGGGGAGTGACACGTGAAAATGTCATCAGTTTGCATTTGGAGCTATTGAGATGTAATAAGTTAGCACGACTCCATGCTTGAAATTTATTAAGATCCGATTGCAGGTCTGACTAGCAAGAGCTGTCCTCATACTGCAGGCATAGCTTAACGTCACAAGCGTACATAAGTACTCTAGAGTTCGTTAGAACCACCGGGAGGTCATTGATAAACAAAGTAAATAGCAGCCGGCCGAGGTGGTTACCTTGTGGGACCCCAGGTGTGACACAGAGTAATTTTTAAACAGAACCTTTTTAGTTCTGTCACTCAAATAATTCTAAATCCATTTATGAAGATCGACAGGAAACCCAATTACGTCAAGCTTCATTAGAGGAGAGTGGGGATAGGTGAACCACGGGGATAGATGAACCACTACAAATATTTCACCTTCTGTCATGATTTGGTGCGCCATCTTATGTGTGTTGCTTACTTAGTCGATATTCTAACCTCACACCCACGCACAGTCGCGTCAAACGATTGTTGTCGTTTTTATCGCTAACCGAAGTTTGTATCGCCGTTTGAAGCTTCAATTGTGACCTAACGTTTTCTTGGAAAAATTTTATCGTGCTTCGCCAGTGGCATTGAACTTTATAAAATTGTATTTTATCGTAAGTAGACGCAGATGATGATATTTTCACGTATAGCTCACGCAGTTTAAATATTTAATGTTTTCTTCAAATCACTTCTAATTGGCTAATGACTTGTAGGGATACATGAACCACCAGGACTTACGAGGGTACCCAAAGGCTAAACCACGAAAACAGACGTTTCGGGGAAGAAAACGAGGAAGGAGTATCATTGCTACAGACTCACGGCAGAAAAACGCAATCAGAAAACTCCAGAAAAAAGAAAGAATAAAAACAAAAATTAGAATAATTAGCAATATTGTAATGTTTGATTTCATGCTGTAGAGGTGCAATGTTTATATTCGAACAGAAAGAAGGCATGCACAAAGAAATAAATTACACTTTTTTTATACAATTGTAGTTTTTGTGCTATCCTGATAGGTGGTTCAACTATCCCCACGGGTGGGGATACCTGAACCATTCGAGACAAAAATTTTGAAAGCAAATAAACTTTACAAAACAAAAGATAGTATTTTTGCATAATACTTAATATTCCAAGGAAGGTGGGCTCTTTTAGATTTCTATATACAGCAGACCCTAAGTCGAATTGTTCAGACATAATAATGTTAATAAAAAAAAAGTGGTTCACCTATCCCCACTCTCCCCTACAAGAAGAGAGTGATTAACCGAATCAAAAGCGTTACTAAAGTCTGTGTAAATCACGTCGGTTTCAAAGTTGCGTTGGTAAGAGAGAGGTTTCCAGGAGATTTGTAGTGGTCGATCTTCACCTCATAAATCCATGCTGACATGGAGAAATTACGGATCTGCATAAATGCTGCAAGTGGGGGGTGATTACATTCTCGAAAAGTTTTGAAATTGCCGACAATTTAGTGATTCCTCTATAATTGCTGGCATCCGATTTGCTATCTTATTTGTAATTCCTTCCAAATAAGGGGAAATCCTGAGGTTTCTAAAGATAAGGTAAACAATAATAGAAGGAAAGATTGCACAGAGCCCCAGCACAATAGCTGAGCACGCAGCCTGGTATTCCAACGAATCCCGGTGAATAAACCGGTTTTACCGGTTTTGTTTAAAATAGGACTGAAGATAAGGTTTGACCTGGGCATATCAAAAGAGTAAGTCTGATCTAAGCTATTTGAGGAAGAATAAGTAGTTTTTAAAAACTCAGCAAAGAGACCGGCGATGGCCTGATCAGAGTTTGCTGTAGTGTTATTAAATGAAAACGAGGAAGGATATAGATTGCGTTTCCGTTTAGTGTTGGTTAAACTTATAAAACTGTTTCGGGTCCTGCGTGAAGTGAGTCCTACAGCGGGTTAATTAATTTTTATAACACTGCGCGTTGAGCACGGTAAAATTCGACCGAGCACTAAGATAACTAGAAATAGCAGTAAGAGAACCGGCACGTTTGTAATTATTATAAAGGCTAGCCTTATTCTTTGAATTTCGAATGAATTTCTCGTATTTCTCGTATTTCGAAGTTGTTGATAAACTGACAGAAATGAATATTAAATTGAGCAATAGTGATATTATTGTTGCCCATTTCGAACATTTCATCTTTGTCATGGAAACGCAGGATGAGCTGCCATCCTTTCAAGGTCACGGTTAAGCTTCTAGGTAAAGCAGAAGGATTAAAACAGAAAAGAAAAGCCTTAAGCCTTTTAGAACAATTCAAATTCAAGTGCGGAAAACATGGACACAGAGCAGGACAATTTAGATCGTGAAATAAGAATAATCAGGAAAGAACTAATCGAAGTAAACACACGCTTTGTAGTGCATCGAGTCGAATCGTAGCTGAGTATCAATATGATAGACACCACCTGACTCCCATTCCTTACCGTGACCCTGAAAGTCTTATGTATAGTAACCTGTCCCCTCTGATTATAAGGTTCACAGCTGAGCGGTTAATCCAGCTTTGTTCTTACGTAATCTGACAAGACGCTAATTCCGCCGAGTTCGGTGGGGAATGCCAAGTCGAGGATTCCCCAAACAACACAACCTATATCAAGACGAAGCAGAAGCAGGCTAATAGGCCTGTTTTATTCTGGCGAAGATAGCCAAGAATGTGAACGACGGCAAAACCGACCAGAGCGATCAAGCGAACAAAGCCCGGTTCCAGGCAGTTAACTAGGAATTCGAGAGGCACGAGAAGGAGCACCCGAAAGAGCTATCGCTCTCAGGACGTGAATGAGGGGAAAGGATGCCAAAAGGAGTCTGAAATAGTTCAGTGAGGTGGCTAGGGTAGAGCTGAAAAAAAAAACGAATTTTAATGCACACATATATATATATATATATATATATATATATATATATAGGGGGTCTGAAATAGTTCAGTGAGGTGGCTAGGGTAGAGCTGAAAAAAAAAAAAACTAATTTTAATATATATACAGCTGTGTTCACTGAAATAGCAGTGCGACAGAGGAACAACTTCAAAACGTTTTTTTGTACATATTCCTTTTTGCAAGCTGATCTATTGCACATTGTTTTTGTAAAATGGAACCTAAAGATATGAATCGAGAAAAAATTCCGTTAGATTTGCTCTATTTTTATGTTTTATTGATATTTTTTCACATATGCAGCTCTTTTTAGCCGATCACTGAAATAGCAGTATTTAATTTTCTTTCGCAAAAAGTGCCGAAATTTCTTTTAATTTTGTAAAAAATGAGTTTAATTACGGTCGTTATTATAGTTTATACTATAATACACCTTTACAACGCAAAAAAAATATTTTTGTGGGCGCAGGACCTCACTGCTCCATGAGAGAAAGGTATCAGATTACTTAGCCTAGAAAGAAGGGCAAAACATGTAAAGAGACTCCAAATCTTTCAAATTGTTATTTTAGAATAGTTTATAAATCATAAAATATTAACCGAACCCAAAAAAAACGAGGTACGATTCGCAAAACCACAATTGTACAGGCTCGACGCGTACTTCGCTTCAGCAAAGCTCGTCCTTTTGCATCCTCTAGGGATATATGAGCAGGAATTGGCATGGGAATCAGTCATGGGACCATTCGCCGGGGACTTATTGAATAAATTTTAGACTCGCGAAGTCCATGAAAAATGTCACTGCTTGGTTAAAGGCATATCAAGGCCAGATCCGAGTTCGCCACTTGAACTGCCACTATTCAAATGGCGTAAAATCCTTTGGACAAATGACTCCAAACTGGTTTTATTTGGTGGAATAGGACAAGACAATATGTCCGTCGACCTCCAAATAGATAGTATCCTCCAAGCCATACGCTGAAGACAGTAAACATGGTGGCCTAAAAATCATGGTTTGGGTATACTTTTCATACAACGTTGTAGGTCCCGTATATATGATCGGTGATCGGATCAAAGACCATTATGTTTATGTCTAAATATTAAAAACTGTCTTGCAGTCGTATCCTGATGAAAATATGCCATTAATTTGGACATTTCAGCAGTACAGTGACCCTAATCATACCATCAAGGTGGCCAAGGAGTGGGTTCTTAATGAAAAAGTGGATGCAATGCCATGGCCTGCACAGTCCCCGGATATAAATCCGATCGAAAACTTATGGGGGACATCAAGGGCTACGTATTAAAGAAGTTTCCGACTTCTAAGCCGCAGCTTTGGCAATTTGTGCAAGAGAAATGAGGCCATATTCCCCTCAAGCGTTGCTAAGACTTGGTGGACTCCATGCCACCCAGGTATGAGGCTATGATAGTTTCTAAATGCTATTTAACAAAATATTAGATCATAGTCAATTAGAATTTAAGAAGAAATAGGTTTCTTATACGATATTTTTAAATTTATGAAGAATTTTAGTTTTTCACTGCTATTTCAATGATCGGCATAATATAGACCTTTTTTGTTGTTATTAGCTATATCTTCTATAAGGTTTATGTTACCTAAATTAAATGATTGTGGTATTGTTAATAATTAAATACACTAAGCCTTTATGAAAAAAAATTTTATGAAAATAGTGTTTGTAATAGTATTTTCCAATCTTAAACGTGCAGGTCGTGGGGCACTGCTATTTCAGTGAACACAGCTGTATATATATATATTCTTAATAATCGATTAAATTAAAAAAAACCTTAATTTTTTGTTGAAATTAAATAAGATCCAATGGAATATTTATATAATATAAAAAAAAATTTAATTTCATGAAACCTCTGTTTTTTGTCTACAAAAACGTGCTTATTTACATTTTAAAGTAAAAATGGTCAAAACCTAATCGTTGCATCCATCAAATTAAAAAGAATCGATGTAATCGATATTCACATCGATGTGCCTGGGACTGGCAGAGATGGTAACAAACAAATTACAATCCGACCCATTTACCCCGACACCCTAGTTTGACTCCTCGGACATGGTTAGAGACGCCGATAATTAGCTGCGACGACGATTTATCGAGTTCGTCACTGCCAAGGATATCCCAAACTTTGTGCTGAAGACTGCGAGCTCAAAACTCAAGGGTCGATATAAAGGACAGGGCCATCCTTAAAGTAGATCGGAAGAGTCAGGCATTCCTGTTCCTCATCATCCTGTGATGCCTAGAACAGCTGAAAAATTCGACAATAAAGTCCGGTACACCATCAGAAAGGCCAAGCCCCACTTGAAGCGGTGCGATACATAGAAAAGGCACTGCTTTATAAAAAATACTCAAAGTCCACGGTCTTAGACATAGAGGAGCCTTCAACAACGCAAAAAAAAACTCTAAAAACAAACTCTACAAAAATGATGTTTGGTGGGCTATATAAAATAATTAATTTAAGTATTAATAGTTTAATTAAACATACTTGACCAACAAAAGTTGAAATTTCGTAGTTGTTCCATCCCTTTGAAAAATTGTTGTCATCCAATCTTGTCCTTGCAGCAGTTTCTTTTATAATTGAACTAATTTGATCTGTGGGTATATTTGGGATGTTATCTATTTCTCCAATACTTGTATGTTGGGGAGTTGTTTGGCCGTGATCCAACTCGGCTGGCGTAGAGTCACCGTGATTAAAATCATCCCCGATGTCTTGATTTGCATTTCTCGGAGTTAATGGCAATTCATTTATTGATGAAAATTGTTCAATGTCATTAAATGATAACAACTCTGGACTCCGCATATTATCAAATAAAGTGGATTCGTTTTGACCAACAAAAGTTTCTTGGTGTTTTGATGCAATATTTAAAGATGCTACAGATAACCCCAATGATTTTTGCTCGTCTCTCAAAACATCGGGAGCATCAAGGCTTTGAATTAGCGAATCTGCTCCAAGATCTGTTAAATTATGTGTTGAAAGGTCACACTTTCGTTTGCGCCCTTTTTTAGTTAAGATAATCAATGAATTTTCCTTATCTTGCGAATAAAATTCCAATGCAAGAATATCCATAGGTGCAACGCTTGAAAAATCTTCAAAGAATGTCGAATGAGATAATAACTGTCGGCTATAATTATTAAATAACGATCGTGCCGGTATCGATCTTGATGGCAACGAGAAAAGTTTTTCAACGCCTCCAGTTTCTTTCCAATACATAAGCCTGCAACAGAAAAATTAATAAAATTTATTATGAGACTACATACATAGTATAAATATATATATATATAATTACCTCTTTGTAGGTGGTGCAAGATCCAGAGTAGTCAATATGTCAGAAGTATCTGCTAATTGAGCCTTCATTTCTTCTCCAGAAATATTTTTTATTTCATCAATAATAAGTTTCCTTTTGCGTTTTGCCTTTGTTATGCCCTTATATACAGTTGCATCAATTGGAGCTAAAGCGAATCCCTCATCTTCATTTTGTACAAGAGTTACTTCATTTAGTTTTACATTTTCAGAGACTTCGGCGTGTTTGTTAAATGATCCTTAAATAAAAATATATTTTTTAAATTTAAAACATTAAACACCTTTCCCATTTAATACTAACCTTCCTTTTCATCAATGATTGAGTTTAAGCACGATGTTGCTGGCGACGGAAGAGCATTAAAATTCTCAATATCCTCATTGTCGGAATCAGCTTCAATGTTATCTACTTTAGCTTCCTTGTCAATCTGGTCAGCTGGTTGAGACGGTTCACCAAAGAGGTCATCTTCGAAAAGCTCTGGTTCTAATAATAAATAAAAATAATATAAATAAGAGGCCACATTTAATTTTTTTTTGTATGTTTATTAACATTATAGAAGATTAATTGGTGACGGTCATAATAAGAATAAGATAATAAAATAATTTAAACGCCATTTGACAGCCAGTTGTTGTAAAATTTACATATGAATATGAAAAGGTGGCACCCCCACTCGTTCGTTTTTTAATAGGGTATCAAAATGAAAGAACACGTATTTTTCAATAAAAACAATTTTTTTTAAATATTTATACCCTTGCAGGTTTTATAATTTCAGTCAGAAGTTTGCAACGCAGTGAAGGAGACGTTTTCGACCCTATAAAGTATATATACTCTTGATCAGCATCAACAGCCGAGTCGATCTAGCCATGTCCGTCTGTCCGTCTGTCTGTTTCTACGCAAACTAGTCCCTCAGTTTTAAAGCTATCTGAATGAAACTTTGCATATAGTCTTTTATATGCCCTCACTGCTTTATATGTCGGAACGGGCCGGATCGGGCGACTATATCATATAGCAGCCATACAAATGTTAGATAATTTTTTAGAAAAATAATTATAACTTGGCTGTTTTTCAATATTATTGCATAATTTTTGAGATATGGCCATTTTATATTATTTCAGAATTTCGGTTTTAATTTTTTGAAAATCGGACGACTATATCATATAGCTGCTATAGGAACGATCGGGAAATTAATAGGAAAAAAATTATAACTTAGTTGTTTTTCAACGTTTTTTCATCTACTCCGGAATATACGCTTATTTTATTATTCTAGAATTTTGGTATAAATTTCAAAAAAATCGGACAACTATATCATATAGCTGCCATATAAACCGATCGGTTTTTTTTTTTTTTTTTTTTTTGCATAACATTAAACAAAATTTTATTAACGTTGATCAACCAACCTAATGGCTATAAAACGTTGGTTATAAATATGAACAAAACAATAACATGGCACTTAACAGAAACGGAAACAAATTAACAAATTTTTAATGACAAGTGGAAAATGCTAGTTACTGCTTTAATACTCGCGAGATATGTCTTCCTCTTGTCCAGAGATCGGCGGGATGTCTACGTTTGAGCCTTCTTCTGACTGACGTGTTGGCCAATGAAGCCGCTAGGCGATTGGTGTGAGCCGTGAGACGTTCGTTATACCGACTTGAATGCCGGTTGATCTGCTCCCTGATAGAGGGAATGTGGAGGTCACTTGCCAAGGCTTTATTTCTAACGTACCAGGGGGCATTAGCAATCAAGCGCAGCGCCCGGTTTTGGACTCTTTGCACCTTCATGACGTTCGAGTCAGAAGCCATGCCCCACAATTGGATGCAGTAAGTCATCGAAGGCACAACAATTGACTTAAATAGCAACATTTTGTTGCCAAGGCTGAGCTTGCTCGTTGGTCTAAGCATCCAGTTGAGCTTTTTAAGTTTAGCACGACAGGAAGCTGCTACCTTCGTTGTGTGTTGCTTCCAGGTGAGCCGCTTGTCCAGGATCAGACCCAAGTACTGCGCCTGAGGTGCTTGTGGGATGGCGATGTGATGGAGATCAACCCTAGGGAGGATCTTTCCATTAAGGGTGAAGTTGCAGTGCTGCGACTTTCTATTATTTATAGAAATATTCCACCTGTTGGTCCACTTGCCGTATGAGTCCAGAAATTCCTGGGTGATCCTTGAAGCTTCGTTTCGACAAGGGGAGTTAACAAGGAACGCGGTGTCGTCAGCATAGGTGGCCAGAAGTGTGCCCGGTCCATTAGGGCTTGGTAGGTCTGAAGTGAACAGAGTGTACAGTACTGGGCCCAGGACACTTCCCTGCGGAACGCCAGCACGAACCATACGAATGCTTGCTCTTTCCCCTCTCACCTCAACCATAAAACTACGATCGTGCAGGTATGACTTTAAAAGCAGGAATTGGCCAGTCGGTAGTAGAGACTTCAACTTATAAAGTAAGCCATCATGCCACACGCGATCAAAAGCTTCCTTGACATCAAGAAAAATAGCAGAGCTGTATTGCTTGTTTTCAAAAGCATTTAAAATATGCTGGACGACTCGATGTGCTTGCTCTGGGGTCCCATGATGCTGCCTAAAACCAAACTGGTGGTCGGGAATGGCTTCCTGAACGCTTCTTACTCCCATTATTCTAGTAAGGAATATTCTCTCGAAAATCTTAGAGAAGGTGGGTAGTAAGCTTATCGGTCGGTATGACTCAACAAGGTTCTCCGGTTTACCAGGCTTTGGTATCATCGTTATCACAGCACACTTCCATTGAGAGGGGAAGTGGTGGATACGAAGCATGGAGTTAAAAAGGAGAACAAGGAACAAGATTCCCTTTTTAGGCAAAGCCTTGGCAATTCTGCTGTCAATGCCATCGAATCCCGGCGCTTTACTGGGATGTAACTTTCGAATATGAAGACAAACTTCTTCTGGGCTTACATGTTGGATCGGAACCGCTTCAGGGGAGGGGGCATTTATGAAGGCTAATGTTTCTTCAACATCCTCGGGGTTCGCGAGGTCGAAAGGCTGGAAGCGCTTCTCTAGTTCATCCGCAAAAGCTAGTGAAATCTCTGTATCAGACCTGCACCATGTATCGTCAGATTTCTTAATGGGGATCTTTCGGATGGGCTGTCGCTTAATATTCCGGGTACATTTCCAGAGGTTAAAGCCGTTCGATTTGGTGGGGTCAGCGTTGAGGAGCATCTCATCAAAATATTCACGCTTTGTCTCATACAGAAGCTTTTTGAGATCGTTTTCGGCGCGTCGATATGCAGCTTTGTCGAATGGGGGTTGGGATCTCATATATCTGCGCCGAAGGGATCTCTTCAACCTTACTAGATCCATAACCTCAGGTTTTAAAAGAGCCTGAGGTGGGTTAGATGAGTTCGGTACTTGTCCACAGGTTGAGGCCTCGGCAGCGGTATGAATATTTCGTATAAATATCTCGACAGCGTCGTCTATATCGTCCGGAGAGTTTAACACCATGTTGAGGTTAACAAGCCGGTTAACTGTAGCTTGGAAGCGTGGAAGGTTCGCATTTCGAGGCAGGATGCGAGGCCTATGGCAAATTTTCTGCGCAGCAACTCTTAATTTAATTATTAATGGGATGTGATCTGAGCTAAGCTCAAAATTTTCTGAGATGGTGAGGCACTCAGGTCGTATCCCACTGTAGACAGCAAAGTCAATAGCTGTTGGAGTTCTTTGGCTATGAGGATAGTGCGTAGGCCCTCCAGTTGCAAGGACCTGGACATTAGACCTTTGAACTATGCCGGCGAGTGCTCTTCCGCGGGTAGTTGAGTTTCGAGACCCCCAAAGGCGATGATGAGCATTCCAGTCACCTGCGACGATGAAGTTCCTTCCAAGATCGTCAAAAAGTTTTTCGAAGTCGTCAGCAGAACATTGAAAATTTGGTGGACAATAGATGGACGCAATAGCAGTTTCGCCATGATCAGTTTTAACTTTAACTGCTACACATTGTAAATTTGGACTTTGCATACTGTAGAACTGGTAATATTGAAGACAGGATTTTATAATAATTGCTGAGCCACCGCGTTTTCGATCGGCAGGATGAGTAGCTTGATGGATATCGTACCCGTGCAATTTGTAGAACGACCTTGAGCAAAAGTGTGTTTCACTGACCAGCATAATATCAATATTATGACCTTGCACAAATAGCTCCAGCTCAAGGGCTTTGTTGGCAAGTCCGTCGGCGTTCCACACACCAATGTTAAGGCCAATTTAACTCATTGTTGGACTATATTAGCAGGGAAAAATCCAGAAACTGCTTGTGCAGTTCCTGGAGAAGTTTGTGGTAGGAGTCTAGAGACAAGACCCATCATCGACACCATCATTTGGAATAATTTGTCAAACTGGGCGACAAGGACCGAAATTCTTTCGTTCGATTGCAAGAACATTTGCTCTTGGCGTTGCCACTGATGGTCGTTGAAAGATTGCTGCGAGCTGCGTCGCTGTTGTTGAGGGAAAGACTGCTGCTGTTGTTGTTGTTGTGAATGCTGCAGCTGGTGCTGTTGCTGCTGTTGGTGCTGCTGCTGCTGGTGCTGCTGCTGCTGGTGCTGCTGCTGCTGGTGGTGCTGCTGCTGCTGACGAGGGGGTTCCTTTTGGTGGCGTAGCTGACTTTTCTTACTATTGTAGCTGCCCAATGGGGGAAATTGTTGACTCTGCAGGAGATTCATAGGAGCATGGTGCTGGGGGCGACTAACTTGCCCACGAACTGCGTTAGCGTAGGAGCTTGAAGTTACAAGGTTAGACCGAACTACTGGATGAGCTGGCTGTTGGAGAACGGTGCTGCGATGAGTTGTGACACTTTTCCGTCGATTAGCAACTTGCTGATAAACGAGGCAGCCTTTATAGCTAGCTGTATGGTCTCCGCCACAGTTTACACACTTCACTGGGTGAAGATCCTTTAAGCAGGCCTCCACACCGTGTTGCAGACCGCATCTGACGCAGTTGAAAAGCTTTTGGCAATGATTTTTTGTGTGTCCAAAAGCTTGACACCGGTGGCATTGAACAACATCATCCTTTTTGTAGGGGAGTTCAACTTGAACCCGTTGCCGACAAAGCGTTTTAATATCATGGATTTCTTTGTTATTTGTCGCTGGTTCCAGTTCAACAAAAACTAAGTTAACGAACTTGGTTTTGTCGAAGCGGCTTCTGGGCCTGTTAACAAATCGAACCGTGTGACCAGCCGATGTAAGGCTTTCCTTTATGTTTTCATCCGGGACAGAATGATGGACACCACGGATGACAACTCGATAAGACCTTTCTTCTTTCAACTGCCAAGAATGGAAAGGCACTTTTTTAAGAGTGTGGGATTTTGTTATAGCTCTGTATGTATCAGAATCAGCAGCTAAGATGGAAACAGAGTTGTTGGAATGACATTTTAGGGAGTATTTTGTCGGGTCAACGATTTTGTCTGTGGATCTGATAAGTCCGTTCAGATTCTCACAGTTATCAACCACAATCGGAGGTGGTTTGTGCGTG